TCCGAATTGTCCCGAGTTCGAACCCAATGTAAGAATAGGGGGGAGAGAGTCGGGGAGAATGGTGAAGAGAGGATCTGCCGGGCGGTCAGTCCCGGATAAAGGATTAAGTCAATGCAACGTAAGGTCTGTGGATTTTGTGGAGAGTCCACGTAGGACATGTAGTATGCGTCAGTCCATCCTGTCTGACGTCCTGTCCGCCATGGCCTGTCTCATGGAACGGACAAAGACTCAACAGCCGTCCTGTCTCACAGATCAGTGGATCGTCGGTCTATGAACCCTAGACCCTAAACCCTGGACCGACTTGCACTTCTGACAGATGATGATGGCTGAGTACCTGAACCGCGAAAGGCATTCATCCGATCGCCTTCCGCTCGCGCCGCTTTCCGTCCGCGTTTCGTCGGTTCCGTGAGCCTCCGACATCATAGCCTGCACACACGACGGTAATTGAAAGCATTCCTGCTGCAGATCTATCAGATCATTTCGTGTCGTCATCCATCCCTTCTCTCGAACGTGCAGCGTGAGATCTGGGAGAGCAGCGTGTTCAGTAGCTCTGACCAGGTCAGGAGGATGAAGCGGAGCAGGCATGAAGCATTCTGCATCACTTTGGCGGTGTGGGGTGTTCGCAGGCGTCACGAGATGGAGTCGGCGGGCAGCGCACCCAGCCATCCCTCACCCCAAGCAGTGCTGGCCAAGGCGTGTGTCCTGCACGACGCCATCCGCACGAGAGAGGCCTACGACCACACCATGAAGCAGCGAGAGCCTGTAGACGCGGACATCGCCGTCGTCATGACCGGCATCTGCCACCTGATTGCCTCGGCCAGTGATCCACAGCTCCAGGTCGACGCGACGCAACAATTGGTCCGGCTGCTGTCCGTCGAGCACATTGACAGCATCGCTCAGAAGGCCATTGAGGCAGGTTCGGTGCCTGTGTTGGTAGGGAACCTGACGTGCGAGGAGGCTCCCCTCTGTCACGTGTACGTCATCTTTTTCTGTATGTGTCCTCATATCATACCTCGATGATTTGCCACTATATGTGCTGCTTGTGTGATGGATTCAGCCCATGTCCATCTGCCTTCTCATGTGTTCTCACAGGTGCCAAAGCTAGCCGCCAAAGCCCTCGGCCTGCTGGCGGATCGTCATGTCGCGGCGGTGGTGGATGCGGGCGCCATCCCGCCCCTCGTCCAGCTGGTGTCGTCATCCGTTGACGATGTGTGTGGGGAGGCGATTTGTGCCCTGGGCCACATCGCGGGCGGATCGGTGACGCATCGCGAGCTGGTGCTGGCGGCCGGCATCCTGGAGCCGCTGCTGAAGGTGCTGCGTGAGAGCAGCCACACCCCCGTCCTCCGCATTGGCGCCTGGCTGCTCGTCCATGTCCATTGCCGCGAGCCCTCGTACCCGCTGGCCGACTTCGCCCCCTTCGTGGCCGTGCTGCTCAACCACATCGGCCAACCTGAACAGGACCAAGGTGTGCTGGAGTGCGCGCTGACGGTCTTGACGCAGGTCAGTGAGGATGAGCTTCGACATGCCGTGAGGGCGATGGGCCTGTGCGGGCGGCTGGTGGAGCTGCTGGCGCATGACATCCTGACGGTGCGTCGGCCTGCCAGCTGGCTGGTGGCTCTGGTTGCTGGAGGTCAGGAAGCACGGACACACCGAACTGTGTGGCTTATGGCACTGTCCCTGTGGTTTGTTGGTCTACAGGCACCGATGCTGATCGTGACGCGCTGGTCGAGTGTGGCGCCATGGCGTCGATCAAGACACTGCTGGAGTCGGCCGAGGCAGACGTGAACGGCGCCGCGTGCCTGACGGCGATCAACATGACTACAGGTGAAACAATCACGCACAGAGAGCTCTGGCTAAGCCACATGGGGATGCAGGCACCACGGCTCACCGGCAGGCCGTCATTGATGCTGATCTGGTGCCGGTGTTGATCAACGTGGCCGCGGGCGGAGAGGCCGATCTCAGCATCAATCAAATGGCGGCGACGGCCATAGGAAACATTGCGCGAGGATCGCAGCAGCAGGTAGGTATTTCGACACGCAGATGTGTCTCTATGTCGCTCGATGTTTGCATGTCTTGATTCATTTACTTATTCATTCACTTGTTCATTCATTCAGACTGAGCATGTGGCTGAGTTCGGCGGCATCCAGCCCCTGTGCGACCTGCTCGAGGGCACTGCTGGCCTCCAGCAGCATAACTTCATAGTCGTCACGCTCCCGACCCTCGACAAGATACTAGCGTACGTCTGCACCTGGACAGATGCGTGTGCGTCACCGACCGTGTGTGTTGCTTGCCTGGGTGTGTGCAGTGTGGGTCGGCAGAAGCAGGCCGAGGAGGGCCTCCCCGACAACACCTATGGCACACTGGTAGAGCAGGTAAGAAGAGGCCGCCGCAACCGACACACAGCCACATTGCCGGATGTTTCGTTCGTGCGGCCTTTCCTGCAGGCCGGCGGTGTGGACAAGGTAGCGGCACTACAGACACACAGTGACGTCGGCATCGCAGTGAAGGTAAGCTGACCTGCCTGCAAGGCTACCACACATGGCGACAAGGGACACGCACAAAGATACACTCTGTGCTGTCTTGTGCCTATCAGGCGGCGATGGTTGTAGCCAAGTATTTCCCGGATCGCTTCCATGGGCAGCGACTGACCGCACTTATTCAAGAGGGCGTCATTCAGGTGGTCCGTCAGCCAGGTGGGGGTGAGGACGACCAGGCCACTCAGGTGGGCGACGATGGCAGCGATGGCGATAGCTATGGGGAGAGAGAGGTGGAGGTGGACGGCCAGCTGGAGGGCGATAGTGGGGAGGCGGGAGAGGAGCGATAGAGAGCTCAGACCAATGGACAGATCTGTGTAGCCAGCCAGCTAGGGGGAGAGACAGACGTGTGTGCACGGTGGAGAGGAAGGAGAGGAATGGATCACTTCGTGGTGGGTGCGTAGATGCGCGCGTGCCTAGCTGCCTAGTGCGTGTATGTGTGCATTAAGGTATGTGTGTGTATGGCTTAGCTGCTGACTGGAGGGGCTCGTGTGAATACAGAGGGACGTCGAGAGAAGGAAACAACAGCCACCTAGCCACGCTAATTGATGTCGTTCTCTCCGCCATCAATTGGCTGTGAACAGTTCGGGTGTGTGAGAGAGGCCGTGTGGACAGATCAAATGCGAAAAATGTGGTGCCTTCACGTAACCGCTCGAACGAGAAAGTGCCCACATGCACACACGCAGTCGACATACACATAGAGTCACGAGTGTGCACACATCGACAGCTCGACGCACACGCGCCATGACAGCTAACGCCCCTTACTACCGTCCCTCCGACCAACATGCATCACCATCTGGTGCCTCTGCTCTACTCGTCCTCGCCGTCCTCGTCGTCGTTGTCCCCCTAAGCCAGCTCGGCCTTGATGCGGCGGGTTGTGTCGGAGAGGCGCAGGCGGCCGATGACGTTGTGGTCCGTCAGGTGCTGCAGGGCGTGTTTGATGCGGCCCTCCACCTCCTCCGCCTCGTCCTCCCACTCCTCGTTGATGGGGTTCTTGTTCTCAAAGCTATGGGAAGATAGACACACAGCATCACCGCTGCATGCATGTGGTGTGTGTCTCCCTCGCTTCGCTGCTTACCTCTTGAGGATGATCCCGAGGTGATGGGCCGTGAGGTCCCATCCCTCGGGCACCGCACCCGTGTCGTCGTTGATGCCGAACAGCGCCGGCATCAGGCCAATGCAGTTGGCTGGGTCGGTGATGAGGTAGGACTTGCCGCGGATCTCCTCTGAGAACTGGCAGGGCGGCAGCGGCCACTCGTCGAACCACTTGAGGATGACGGCCTTGAGGTTTGGGTGGATGGTGGTGCTGGCCTCGACCATCTCTCTGGCCCTGTCCCGCATCTCCTGTTGGTTGTTGGTCTTGGAGCTGTCGTCCCTTGCCGGCAGGTTGTTGCCCTTGACGAACGAGCGCTCGACGGGCGTGAGGCGGAAGAGCTCGGCGATGGCACAGAAGCAGCGGGGCAGACGGAGGGGAGGGGCCGGGCCGCCTCCGTTCTTCTTGACCATCTCGAGGTAGTAGTAGAGGCCCTGCTTGAAGAGGATGGCCCGCCCGTTGACGACCTTGAGGACGGCGTCCTTGCGCTGCTTGATCAGCTTGTAGATGGGGAATAGGACGCATTTGATCCAGATGATGATGCAGACGATGACCTTGGGGCAGAGGCACCAGATGATGATGATCATGTCTGCAAATATCCACTTGATGTTCCACTGGTCGGTGACCCGCACCTGGCCGTGAGTGAGGTCGGCGTACTCGCAGAACCGGGGCAGGGCCACCTGCAGTGGGATGGTGATGTGGATGTTCTGGAAGTGCTGGCGGGCGCTGAAGTGCAGCAGGTGGGCAAAGACCTGCAGGTAGCTGGCGAAGCCCTCAAATCCCCACCGTGGCACCTTCCATGGGCGGCCTTGTTAACACGCTGCGGGATGGTGTCGGGGTGGCGGGTGCGGTAGCTCTGACGATTTCTAATCAGGACCTTGACTTTGTCGGCCGAGGAGGGCGGCATTATGGTGGCTCAGGTGAGCTGATGGCGGCGCCCTCTGGTTGAATTGGTGGGGGGAAGGGCAAAGAAAGCTTTCTCTACTCGCTCTGTGGCCGAGGATATCAATGGCTGTCGCTTGGACGCTTTGCGGGAGCCGCACGACAGAGAAGGATGCACCACAATTGTCGCAGATGCATCTAAACGCGACTTTTGGCCAAGATCGTCACGCGCTGATCTCGAGACCATCATCTCACCTGAGGCCAACAAACAAACAAAAAAACACGGCAGGAGTGAGGCTGGTTCATCGCTGTTTGATAGGCTCTCTCATGTGCAGAGGGGCGGCGATGCATTGGATGAGTCGACAGTGACGGCAGAGGACCGGCTGACATCGGCCGCTGAAGCCAGCCGACTCGAAAGATGACTGTCAACTACCAACAGGCAGCAGGAGGCTGTCAAAGGGTGGAGGGAGAGGCGTCGGCAAGCTCCTGAGAGCCATTGCATTGCAAAAATGCTCACTCACTCTTTCACTGTACGGGAGGGTGGGCAAGGTGACGGGCAGACACTCAAAGAGCTCTCATGGTGTGTGTTTGTATGTGTATCATGTGTATCTCCCCGCCCGAGAGCCTTCTCGTTACTTGCACTGCTTTGTCTGTGTGTATCAGGCAGATGGAACAACGCTCACGACCCGAAACGCATCGCTGGGCCAAGCGGAGTGACGGGCGGTGAAGGGGAGGGGTGGCTGTTGCTTCACATGGCGGCGGAGAGAGTGGCAGACAGACACAGTGAGAGGGCGGCAAAGCATGGCCAAACGGTGGCTGATTTTGCTTGTGATTGGTGTGATTGTGTTGGGTGATGTGTACAGGATGGTGTCAGAGCGACACAATGGTGAAAAACATGGAAACAACCCAACGGCAATCGAGAGAAACAATGGTCGCAAGTAAACAATGCGCAAGATCCGTCACGAGACGATTTCACTGTGTTTTGCTTCGTTGTGTGTGTACAGGGTTCGTCTACGCGTCGAGGGGTGCGTCACGGTCGTCACCGAAGGCGAGGAGAACAAACGAGGTGCGCACAGTGAGTGATGGATCTGTATGTGTAATGCATCGTGTTGGGCGTGCGACTGGCCTGCGATGCCTTCCTCTGCGTGTCTGTGTACACGTGTACGTACTCATTCACTCGCTCACAGCGTCTGTGCTCATCTCGGTTCTCTCTCTGTGTGCGTTCCGCTTTCTGCAGGCGTGTGTGTATTGTACACTCAGACGGATACGTGTGCGCCATCGCGATCGGCCTCCCTCCGTCCTCTTCCCCGTGTTCGCAAGTACCACACACATCTACATCAATGGCTGGACATTGCGGAACGTGTGGGGTGTGCATGTGTGTGTTCGCTGTGTGCAGCCGTCTGTCTACCTTCTGCGGCGTGTTGTTCTCGTCGCCGGCAGCTGTGGCCCTTCTTGGATGGTCTGCGTGTCTGTCGATGCGCTACAGTGCTGCTAATGAATGTGATGACCGACCGCCCATCTTTTCCACACGTGTGACCGACCATCCATCGAGTCGAATCTGACGAGGCGTGGCGGGTTCGTGCACTGAGCAGCTCGGCGTGGCGGATCTGGCGTGAGGGAGGTGCCCGCGCATCGCACAAGGACGGCCATGCACCTGCTGGAATGGGTACGCACGAATGTGTGTGGATGGGGGAGGGGCGGGAGCAAGAAGGCAGCCGCAGAGAGCGCCATCAGGTCGATCTGTCATGTGCCGTGTGTGTGTCAGGGGTGTCTGCCCTCAGTCGGCTGAGTCGTGACGGGGTACCTGCATGTGCTGCTGCTGACGATGGCGACGGCAGCAGGCGCATCGTTTCGTCCATCCGTCAAGGCGTACGAAGAGCGTTCACACATCCGGTGGTCTCGGCGGTGGCGGCAGAGGTCCTGTTCGCTCTGATTTGAATGGGTATGCAAGTGCACGCGAGAGGATGCCGTACGCCAATTCATCATTATGTGTCATGCACATGTGTGTGCTGGTGTGTGTGTCAGGCCGCACAACGAGATGCTATGATACCGCTGAGAAGTAAGTCGCCATGCTGTACACATAAATCGCATGAGTTGCATGGCTGGTCTTTTATGCACCTTGACAGGGCGGTTTCTGCGCTCTTCGTCATGTTCTGTTTGGCCTTCGCGGACCACGCCCGACCTGTACTTGTACATATGGCTTTTCAGACCCTCTTGGCCGTCCTACCCTCATGCCTCGATGTGTGTCTGTGTCTGTGTCTGTGTGTGTGTGTGTGTGGTGACAGTGACGTTGCATGTGGTGGTCAAAAAGTCGTCACTCTCATTGCAAAGGGTGTGATTGCGACCGAGAAGCTGTCAGGCTGGTCAAAAGGCCGTCTAAGGTCTGTGGATCAGAAGAAAGGCCGTCTAAGGTCTGTGGATCAGAAGGCTGTCATGCTGCATGAGAAGGCCATCTTTCGGCAGCAGCAAGTTGACTGCTTGGTCAGGAGGCTGTCTTTTTGGGTCAAGAAGCTGTCTCTTTGGATGGTCTATCTTTTTGCAATGGCGAGTTATCTTTGTGGAGGAAGCGGTCTTTTTTGCCTCAGAAAGTCACCTTCGAAGATCTGCCGCAGATCGACAGCTCGCAGAGCTTCGGCCGGAGGAAGTCAATTTTTTCTCAGACCCTTCCTTGTCGTGCTCGGATTCGAAAGGGGTCCTCGCACCGTCCTCCAGGACAGCGAAAAACAGCTGAACGCACGGCCCCCTTTCGCTTCCAAAGCATTCATTGCTCCTGCCTGGGGGGATTGGATTGATTGGAAACCCATGTCGTATTCACCACTCCGGCACTTGCCACTGGATGAGAGGCCGTGTGCGGCAGAGAAACTGGTGCGAAGGAAGAGAGAACTTCAGTTCGTCCATCACCTTTCCTCCCTCCCTCCCTTCGGTTGTCTTCCCCTCAGCGGCCCTTTGTGGAGCCTGACCATGGACAGCGCCACCCCAGCCCCTTCAACAGGGCCCGAGAAGCCGCAGCGACATCCCCTTGGGTGTTTGATCGGTCCATGCCTCTCCCCCACGGCGCCAGGCCGTCGCCTGAATTCAGGGGGGTGCCCAGGCATGTACCCCTGTATCAGGTGAGGAGGGGCATGGCTAGATGGATGGATGGATGGCCTGCATTTGTGGGGCGTGCGTGGTTGTGCGTTTGGTGTCTTTTCAGGGAGCCGATCTGAACAATCTGCCGATGCCGATGGCAGATCTGCAGCCTGGAGGTGCCTGGGATGGGGGAGAGAGAGCGTCTTATGTCTGTGTGCACGTGCAGAGAGGAAGAGAGGGTGCGTGCGCATCGACTCGACCGAGGACAAACGCAGAAGGGTAAGTAAGACAAAGACCCGCTGCGTGTGTCCATGTCTCTCTCCCGCTCCGCGCACTAGCAAGAGGAGATCGCCCGTGAGCTTCACGATCTGTACTCGCAGCAGCGGCTGATGACACCGCACCAGCGGCGGGAGGAACACTGGAGGATGAAGACACTAATGGACGAGGTGCCACATGTTCTGGCCTCCCCCTCTCTGCTCATTGGCGTTGTGGTGTGTGCGTACCATGTCAGCTGGAGGCCATTATGCCAGAGGTGCGTCTCCAGTCCAAGAGGACCCGCGTCATTCGCAACACATTCAGCAGGGGAATCGTCGGTGAGACAGGGAGGGAGGGAGGGAGGGAGAGAGGAAGGGAGAAACAGAGAGATGTCTCGTCCCCCCTCTCTCCCCTAATTGCAACATTTTGTGGTGTCTTTAGGCATCGATTCGCCGCTCCTGCCAGAGGATGACACCGTTCTCTTCAAAGACGTGAGACACACACATACACACACACGTCTACACACATGCCTGCCTCCCTGCCTGTCTCCACCCGCAGTCATCCAAGCGGATCAGCGATCGCATCCAGAGGACTGGCGAGAAGGCCAAGCAGCGGAGGGCCGGTATCTTCTCTCGTCACATGAGTCTTGGTCCATCGACTGAGGGTGGCACGTCTGTCTGTCTGTCTGTCTGTCTGCAGAGCTGATCAGCCAGAGGGGCGCCGTGGGCAGACACTACGAGCGCTCGCCTGTGCTGCGACAGTGTGCCTCAGAAGCGATACGTAAGCCATACACACCATCACCACACAGCAGCACCTATAGCAGACCTCTCTCTCTCTCTCTCTGTGTGTGTGTGTGTGTGTGTGCGCCTGCTTGTCAGTGCCTCGCGGACCGGCGTCAGGCGAGTGCTCTCAGCGGTTCCTCAACACGCACGAGAGGGTCTTCCCGGTAGGCTCCAAAACCGACTGAGGCTTTCATCGTGTGTGGGATGACGGGGGTGTCTGGGGGCTCTGCCATGCATTCAGCGGTCGTCGATGCTGTGGAGCGTCAAGCGAGCCCAGAAGATGTGGAGGCAAGACAATCGGTGTCCTTCTCACACACTCGCGCATGCGCACACACAGTTGAGGCAGGATGTCTCTTGAGTGAGCGTTTCTTTGTGCCTTTGTGAATGCAGAGAGAACTGGCACATACTCAGCCACGCGGCGAATGACATGCCCAACCTGTTCCCTCTGCCTCCGGTGCCATCAAAACACACACACACACACACAGAGAGAGAGAGAGAGAGACTATTCACTGGTGTCTGTCTGTCTCTCTTGGCTCCCTCTGTCTGTCTGTCTCAGAACAAGGATTTCGACCACAAGTGGAGCGACATCGGCAGGGCCATCGCCAGGCCACCCAAGCCACCACCCACCCGCACAATACCAACCATGCCAACACAAACATTGGCACACCATGAGCCGGTGTCTCACCCCGCTCTGCCACCCCTTGCGCCATCAGCTGAGAGCAAGGCAATAGAAGACACACGGCGGCCGAGCAGGAGGCTGTCACCGATGGCGATTCTCATGCAGCCGGAGGAGCACCGAGTGCAGGCGGATGCACGGGGGGTTGTCTTTCTCTAAGTTCATCTCATTCTGTTCATCTTTCATCTTTGGGTCACGGCCATTGCTCATCTCAGTCCGTCACAAAGAAGCGTGAGGCAGTCAGTCAGTCAGTCTGACTCAGTCAGCTATACAAAGAAGATTGACAAACAAGCAAGCTTGCCACACAGGGAGACAGACAGCCTCCATCGACACACAGCCCCCCCCCCCCCCCCCCCCCCCCC